TTAGTTATAGAAAGAGGCAAAGAGGAAATATTTATAATTAACATAGCAATATGCTTCATATTACTACTTCATCTGTTAATCAAATCTATCTACTGGCAGCAACACAGCTTAGATCTTTTTCTCTTTTAATTGAAAACACCAAAGACTTAACTTTTGAGTTGAAAATCATGTATTTAACAGCATATTTAGAGCCCTTCTTCAGGTAAGTTAATTTTCTTCAGTCAAGGTATCCTTCCCTCTATTAACTGGAGATAAATTGAAGGCAAATTGATTCTGGTTGATTTAATAGTAGCTTACTTTTATTTTTTATTTTATTTTATTTTATTATTTTATTTTATTTATTATTTTATTATTTTATTTTATTTTATTTATTTTATACGTCACCCATCTCACTATCAAGCAACTTTGGGTGGTTTAGAAACTCATTTACCCTAATTTTAGAATAATGTGGATACTTTTGATTTCTATGACATTTAAATTATAATAAATGTTCCTAACCCTGCATATGCACAAAAATAAAGCTAAAGTATATGTGGGCCTTTAAATAAACCAACCTTTCTCATCTTTTTATTTTTTGCTTCTGGAAGTATCCTTGAAATAATTTTGAATGTTTTAGGTAAATTCTGTGTAAAAATTATAATATCTACAATGTATGGTACATTAGTGTAATCAACAAACTGAGTCATGGCATGTAAAATTTATTAGTATTATAAGTGCTAGCTGATTTTTTTTAATCACTACCTCTTGCTTAATCCCTAATGACCTTTCATGAGACCTAGAGGTCTAGACTGAGAAAGTTGAGATTGGCTGCTTTAAAGCTACATAATTACATATCTAGCACTTGTGTCTATAGGCTGAGAAATTTGTTAATATGCAGTTGGATCATAAGCTTTCCCATAGATTTTGTTGACAATGTTAATAACTAATTTCAGGATAAACAGTTTTATTATATGTGTATAAAGAGACTGTTAACACCAACAAGCATAAGCTAAACGGAAGATGAATTGGACTGACACAAGGAAGGCTTAAAAATATTTCTGAAGAATTTACATTACAGAATATGGATGAACGGATAAACTTATAAAAACTGGAATAGCTTCATGGCTGGTCTATGGCTTTAGGATAATTTTTTTTTTTAGTAAACATCTGTCAATGCCTGAATAATTCTCTAGGCAAGGTGCTCAGGCATATTGAGCATAAGGAGAATGCATGTCTTCAGTATAACAACAACAACTGTAACTTAGAAGAGACATTAAATAATCAAATAATAACCATGCCTCAAATCACAGCACATTAAAACAATGGGCAAAGTAATTTTAAAAATTAATCATTCTGGTTTATAAAAAATGCCTTATAATACTCTCTTGTTATTAAATAGGAAAAAGCAACATAATAATACTCAGTTGTTTTAAGATATTAAATCCATGCCAAAAATAAACATAATGTTTCATTTTTTTAGGCAGCCTTCTGGTATAACAATGATTCCTCAAAGATAGTCAGGTTCCAGATTTTAAAATACAGTTCAATAAAATATTAACTCATCGCCCAGACCCCTTATTGAGGGAAAGAGGCGATCTAAAAACATGAAATATAAAATAAATAATATCCTTATCACTGTGGTATTTCTATATAAATATTATATAATATACACTCACAAACATGTTTGTGTGTCTCTGTGTGTAATATTCCAAAAAATACAAGTGATTCACAAGGCCACAGCATATGAGTCAATGTATCCTCAATTTTTTTACATCTCCAACAAAGGAAATTATATATTCTTTGTGGAGACCTATAAACTTGGAATACAATTTTGATCAATTGTAAATTCAAATCTATTGAAACTGTTTAAGATGTTTGAAGAACTTGCAACTCTTCGTGTAACATTATCAGATATTTCAATTCTTTAATTCTTAAATCCAAGTGGTGTCAACTTTCAAAAGTGTTAACTTTTAGTAAAGAAATGTTGCAGACTAAGTTTAGTCCATGGACTCCATCAAATCAAGTCTTAGGTATCACCTTGAAGTGGCTGAGGTATCTGGTCTACTTTTTATTTTGCTAATCTACTGGAAGCCATCAAATCTCTTAACTGCTAATTATGATCAGAGCGTGGAGGTAATTTAATTGATTTTACCCCCCACAAAACTAAGCTAAGGTAAACTAAGCAGGTGTGACTTGTACTTTGCAGAATCAATCTTGATTACAAAATTGCACTTTTGTTTAGGAAAAAGAATGTGAATTTGAGGGAGAACAAAAGCATCCAAATTGGTAAAACAGCATGGGCATTAAAGACAATAAAATATCTGAAACTTCAGATGTGATATGTCAGAGAGTTCCATTCTGGTAAAAAAAGATTGGATAGAAAGAAAACAAGAATATATATTGGGAAACATATTTTAAACAGAACAGAATTCTTCCCTTACTGAGAGCTGAGTGATAAAGATATCTTTCTAATTTTATATTACACACAGCATAGCTCACAAGTTTGAAACACTTATCCCCATGTTAATTATAGTTAAATAATAACTTTAACTTATTAACTCTAATCATGTGACTGTTATAAAACTTACAATACATTCTTGTATAAATACATTCCTGTATTTATGTGTTTAGAATGAATGCCTAAATTCTAAAAAGACTCTCTAGTTAACATGCCGTGGTAGCCATACAATACTATATCATAAACCAATATTGACATTTATTCTAAATTAGTTATACAATGTCTTTCAAGTTGAGCACCATTTTTGAATTTTGAGTAATACACTTAAGTCCATCACTGTTTTCAGGAAAAAGGTGGATGGTTGGCAAATGATGAAATGCATGACACAATGTCATGACAGGAACCTGATGTGCTTATGAGCAACATTGCAGTTGAAGAACAAAAGACTGGAACAAGAACTGTGGCATCATGACACATTTTTCATCAGTCTTAACCAAAACTAGAAATGGACATGTGTAACTCATCAAAACAAACACAGGAAGTGGGAAAAATCAGAACAAAACAAAATAGGAAAACTAATAACATAGTACATATTTTCAAGTAAAAATTCCCACATTCAACTATGGCAGCAGAGATTGGGAAAAACTGCTTGGAGTTCTGTAGAGGTAAACTGTACAAAATATTAAACTAAATTGCTTGATTCAACATTAGAAAGTAATTTATAAAGTCTCAGTGAAATATTGCAAAGATTGCAAAATATTTGCCAAGGGTTGCAAGAGCAAGGACAATGGGTTGCATCAACTACAAATAAATAGACTTCCTCATTCTTAAATACATATATGCATAGTTGCCCGCATTCTCAGTACAGAGTAAGGGAAAAGTCTGGAATCCCTTTTGATGGATTAAACTGCCTTACAATGTATAGCAAAATAGTGATATGCCAGTGGTAACCAGTATAAGTCTAGTGCTCTAAAGTTCTCCTACTGAGATGATGAATCCCAGCAGAGAGAAATCCTCCTATATTTACATTATTCTCAGTTCACAATGCTGATGTAAAATGGACTGGAATAATGTGATATCTATGGGAAAAAAGGCACATAGAAATAATTTTACTTGTGCATATTGCTCTTATTAAAGAGGGTGGCATAATTATGTTCCTGCCTTTCCGGTGCATTTTCCATGAAATTGGTTGTAGAGGTGAAGACCTTGGCACTCATTTGTCCCCCTCTGGGGAAGTTCTAGATTTGTTCATATGAGTTCCACATACAGTCTACTTTTCTAAGAACAAATGTAGACCTCATTGAATGTAGAAGTAGAAAAGGCTTTGAAAATGAAAATATTAAAACAAAATTTTCCTAGTTAAACTTAGTTTATGAAGAAACTAAAATTTAAACTTAGTCACTTGAAGAACTACTCTCCAAATTTCATGAAATAAATTGAGGGTAATTCTCTGAAATGTACTAATACTTTACTCCAAAATTATCAAAATTTATGAGGGAAGCAACCACAAAGCTAAAGCTGAAGTTGTTTTTATACTGATCCTTCATACTAACAATGGGCAAATCCAAGCACAAAGAGGATTTTATTGCTTCTGGAAAAGCCTTAAAACCTAATTCTGTGGGTTGGCTTGGCAGTCTGATGGGGGACTCTATGTTGGAGGTGGTTGGTGGACTAACAGAAAAGATTCCACCACTGTACCAATCTTGTTTTTGCTGACCTCTGTACACAATTTTTAAATATTTTATATTAAATATTAAACCATATTAATTATGGTTTTAATTGTAAGCCACCCAGAATTGCTTTGCAGAGTGAGATAGATAACATATATAATAAGACAAAAAACTTTATTGAAAAGAGTCACAATATTTCAGGCTTGAAACAACCAGATAATTGCTATAGTTACATAAAATTCTGTCTCCTAGCTGCCATCTATTTGGTTGTCCACATTTGCTCTAATTAATTCAGGCCTTGCTATGTAAACCAGGTGAAAAAACCAGGACATTTTCCAATATCTGTATTACCAACAAACAGGATCAGAAATAAACATAGACAAGATTACCTGCTGTCTCTCACAAATACCAAGTCTCTTTTTCACACATGCACATAGAAACCAGATAGGGACACAATTTTTCTCTCTATGCTTAGAAAAAGAAAGTGATTTTTTGTGTGTGTGTGTAGTTCTCTATGTCTAATTTGTTTCAATAGAAAATCTGAGAAACATGGTTACAAACATGGACAGAGACTTCGCTTTACTGTCCACAAATTGGGAAATTAGAATTTACAGGCAAAGCTTACACCCAAAAAAATTCATTCTTGATTTAAAAATTTCAGCTCCTGTATAATTTCTATTCTGAACAATAAATTCATTGGCAATTGAAAAATAAAACATTGACAATGCTACTAGTTTGTAGAGACATCTGTTTTAAAAGCAATGAAATGCATAATATGTTATGCATATTATGATCTAATTTACTTTGTAATGTAACAATCTTGTACCAATCCCCCCCCCCAGTGATGATCAATATAACATACAAGAGTGCATAATTCTTGATTACATACAAACCTCAGGCCATATAATACTGTGCCATCTGGATGCAGGCGAATCATTCGATTCTTAACAGTAACACCATGCACAAACGATTTCTTGTCATTGAGAAAGTAAGTATCAGGCACCCACAGTTGATCTGCTACTCTGTTATCAAGCGTAAGGTTGAGAGGAATCCCAGCATAGGCTAGTCTTTTATCTCGCCAGTATTGTTGAAAATACATTGTTAATGTGTAATCCTGGTGGAGAGAAGAAGAAAAACTGAAGATAAGTCTTGGTTATGAATTGAACTTCCAGAATCAACTTTCATATAATCTTAGATTTAGTTAGGTTGTTCCAAATAAAAAGATAATATTTATTTCAAAATGCATACCATTTTTCTTCCTCTTCACCTAATATTGTATAAGTTTCAACGAAACATCTCTGGATTGAAATAACACACTAGCAAGAGCTCTACTAATGTTACTGTAGCGTTTTTGTTTTTAAATTTTTCATAACCAAAAGAAGAAACGACTTCATGAAAATATGTCCAATGCTTTAGAAGAAAAGCTATCTTTCACGGGAAGTAAATGTCATTACCATTCAAATTACTTTCAGTGCTCATTAACAATTTCTATTAGGTGCATCATCAAAAGGTCAATATGCCCCCTAGTGTTTTCTGCAATTTTCTGATGTGGAAGTTAGGAATAAATGAATTCTTTACTAGTGATGTCTTAATTAAAGCTTGATTTTAGTAGTAATAAACGTGGAAAATATTTTTATTGACTTGTAATAAATGACTTTAAAAAATTAAATTACTAAAACCCACCAAATGTATAATACCAAATAAGAAATTATAGTACAATATTAGTAATTTGGTTAAACCAAAAGCTGTTGCTGTTATAAAAGAAAATATATATTTAGAAAGGCACATTCTAGCCATCTTGCACTCTCCTTGAATTGTATCAGATTTCCCCTTTAGAGAAGTCTGATCCAGAAATAAAAAAGTTACCTTTCCCACTCAGCAACTGAAAACAGAGCTCTAATGCTATACCACAGGTCGGCAACCTGCGGCTCCGGAGCCGCATGTGGCTCTTTGAGCCTTCCCCTGTGGCTCCCAGCCTCCTCTGCCTTTGCAGAGAGAGGCAATTGCACTTCCCTGCTTCTCTCTCTCTCTCTCTCTCTCTCTCTCTCTCTCTCTCTCTCTCTGTGTGTGTGTGTAAAAGAGAGTGCACTCACAGTGTTCTCCGAGGAGCTGAAAAGCTTTCTGGGCGGAGCTCCTCCCTTTGCTGCGTCTCTGAAGGAAGCAGGAAGCAGGAAGGGCAGGAGAGAGCTAGCTAGCCCAGCTAGGCTGACTCAGGAATTCTGGGAGTTGAAGTCCATGAGTCATAAAAGAGACAGGTTGCCTACCCCGGAGGTTGTTGGACAACAGCTTGAAGCTTGCCAGGTGAGCAGCAGATAGGAGGGGGGGGAGAGAGAAAGAGAGAGAGAGGGAGAGAGAGAGAGTGGGGGAAGAGGAGTGGCAGATCAAGGGCAGATAGAGAGGGAGAGAGAGAGAGACCCTTTTGACATCTAAAATGAAGATAACACTGCATATATCCTTTTTTTACCTTTGTGTGTATGTAATTTTATTCTCTTAAAGCATTCTCTTGGTGATCATTGTTTTAATAGTATGGATATTCCCAAGAGTCATATTTTTACTTTTATTTTTAATGTGTATATGTGTGTGTGTGTGTGTGTGTGTACACACATATACACATATACATATATATACACACACACACATACACATACACACACCTATAATAAAGGTAAAAAAGGATATATATGCAGTGTTATCTTCATTTTAGATATCAAAAGGGTTTTGCGGCTCCCAGTGTTTTGTTTTTGGTGGGAAACGGGTCCAAGTGGCTCTTTGAGTGTTTTGGGTTGCCTACCCCTGTGCTATACTATAGAGCAGCACATGACATTCTATAAACCAAATGGGAAAATAAAGAATACACACATTTTCATCGATATAAGCTCTGCCTTATTGTAACCTTCATAAATTCTGCACCTACAATTATTGACTTGGTTTACAGTATTTGCATCAGAATGCATGCTTGGCTAGAAAAGCTAGCTCTGAGAATATGGCAGGAAACAGATAATTAAAAGAGTAAAACTTTCCCTCTCCTCTCTGACAGTTCAGGTCACATTGTCCAATTAATTTTGGGCAATTGTTATGAGAAGAAACTTTGGTTTGCCAAAACATCTTTTTAGCGGCTTTGAGTCTCACACTGATAGGGAGTACCTGTGGATCCCAAACACTCCCCTCCGCCCCCCCCCCATATCTATAGACAAGCTAGAAGCACTATGGTACTTCTAAAGACAGTACATTTCGTAGCTTGAGAGGTATGTGACAATGTTGCCCCTATAGGACAATATTATTCATGTCTATTCATTAGTAAAGGAATGGGTAGTTATTAATAAAGCAGGATGGTAATTTTGAATGCCTTTGGCAGAGAAACACAATACAAATTCATTAAATAAGTTACAATATATCAATTATTTGTAACATGAGGATTTGTCACACACAAATTTTAAATTGATATTTAACAACTGAGAACAGAACACCCATTATTTCTTGAAACTTACATACCAACTAAGCAGAAGTAAGCTACAGTTTATAGTCTGGATTCCCATTTTAATCTAGTAAATTTCTTATAAAATAGGCTAATATATAATACATAACTTAGTAGATGAGAAAGGTTGTTTACAATTTAAAAAGGAAGAAATAAAAAAGATAATCAAGAAATATTATAAGGAATTATATGGCAAAGAGGAGGCTGCAAAAGAGAGAATTGCTCAATATTTAGAAGAAAGTAAATTGCCAAAGATTCCAGAGACATTCAAAACTATGTTAGAAGAAAGAATACCAATGATGGAGATATTAGAGGCTATAAAATGACAAAAGAATGGGAAAACACCTGGCCCAGATAGGCTACCGGTGGAACTTTATAAAAATCTACATGATATATTAAGCGAACCGTTGAAAGATGTGTGTAATGGATTATTATTAGAGGCCAAGCTTCCAAATACATGGATAGAAGCAAATATTACTTTGATACCAAAAGAAGATTCAGACGATGCAATATTAAGAACTATAGACCAATTTCATTACTCAATGTGGATTACAAAATTTTTACTTCAATAATGGCAGAGAGACTGAAAAGATACTTAGTTGAGTTTATACATCCAGATCAAAACGGCTTTTTACCGAAGAGACAAATTAAAAATAATTTAAGGGTGATAATGGACATATTAGAATATTATGAATTACACCCAGGGAAACAATTAGCATTAGCGTTTTTAGATGCCCAAAAAGTGTTTGATAATGTTTCTTGGCAATTTATGGTTCAACAATTACAAATAATGGATTTTGGAAAGAACTTTACAAATATGATAAAAACAATATATATAGTAAACAGACAACAAAAGTGATAGTGAATGGAGATTATACTGAGAGCTTTGAGATAAGAAAAGGTATGAGACAAGGATGTCCACTATCTCCATTATTATTTATCTTTACTTTGGAAGTACTAAATAGAAGGATAAGACAGGATACAGAAATTTAAGGATTGAAAATAAAAGATGGAACATATAAGTTACAAGCATTTGCCGATGATCTAGTGTTTATTTTGGAAGAACCTTTAGAGATGATTCCTAAACTATGGGGAAAGATAGAAGAACATGGAGAAGTGGCAGGACTAAAAATAAATAAAGATAAAACTAAAGTAATAGTAAAGAACCTTAAAGATAAACAAAAAAGGCAAATACTAGAGAAAACAGAGGTACAAATAGTGAAAAAAGTTAAATATTTAGGTATTCATCTTTCAGCTAAGTGTCCGTCAATAAAAGAAGACAATTATATAAAATTATTGAAGCAAATAAAGCTAGACTTGGAAAGATGGAAAAATCTCCAGCTGTCAATATTAGGAAGAATTGCTAACATAAAAATGAATGTGTTGCCAAAGATTTTATTTTTATTTCAAACAATTCCGATAAAACTTGAGAGAAAATTCTTTCAAAATTTAAATTCATTGGTTTTGAACTTTATTTGGCAGGGGGGAAAAGCTAGAATTAAGATGAAAACATTACAAGATGCTAAGGAAAATGGAGTTTTGGGTTACCGGAATGGACATTGTATTATCAAGCATCTGTATTAACGTGGGTGAAAGAGTGGATAACACTCAGAAATAAAAGGTTATTGTATTTAGAGGGACATGATTTACAATTGGGGTGGCATGCTTTTTTATGGTACGGGAAAAACAGAGTCCATAAGTACTTTTAAAACCATTTTATAAGAAATGCTTTGTTAATAGTATGGGAAAAAATTAAAACTAAAATATATTCAAAAATTCCAGGGTGGTTATCAACGATGGAGGCATTTATTCATCTGAACCTGGTAGACTTTGAAAAAACATGGACATATAAAGATATTTTAGATATGGGTGGGAAATTAAAATCTAAGCAAGAATTGGAAAATCAGGAAATTAATCTGTCTTGGTGGGCACATTTACAGATACAAAGTAGATATGAAAAAGATATAAAAATGTATGGATTTTACAAGGACCAATCTGTGTTTGATAAGATTTTGTTATCTTCAGATGAAAAATTAATCAAGAAAATGTATAACTTTTTGTTAATTTTAGATATGGAAAGTGAACAAGTGAAAGAAACAATGACAAGATGGGCAAAAAATTTTGGTTATAATATAGAATTAGAAAAATGGCAAATGTTATGGGAGAGAAACTATAAATTAACAATGTCAACTTCATACAAAGAATAAAATGTTTTATAGCAAGATTAGCAAAAATGTTTAAAAATATGTCAGATAGATGTTGGAAATGTAAACATAACATAGGCACATATTATCATATTTGGTGGACATGTGGGAAGGCAAAGGCTTATTGGAAAAATATACATATGTGGTTAGAAAAAATATTGGGTGAACAAGTGGATTTTAAACCTGAACTTTTTCTACTAGGCATTATGCCTGAAAAGACTAATAAGCAGAAATTATATTTAATTTTACACATCACCACAGCAGCGAGAATAATTTTTGCACAATACTGGAAGAATGAAGGATTGCCATCAGAAGAAGAAATAACCAGGAAAATACTGGAATGTGCAGAGATGGACAGATTAACTATGAGGTTGAAAGACAAAGAAGATACAGATTACTATCAAATTTGGAATTTATTTTATTGTTGGTTATAGA